CTATACATCATATAAGAAACGCTTAATGAGATGTGTAATGTAAACTATGTTTTTGTAATTAGTAGGAGGTCAAAGTATTGGTAACACTATACTTGAATATGTAAATAGTAGAATAATTTATAAATTTCATAAATCGGATCCACACAAAACATTTGTGTATTCTGTTCATTTCATAGCACCTATTGATTAAAAAAGAAGCAGAAGGGAACAAAGGTACATTCAAAACTCATAAATCGAGGAAAAACTGAAATCGCCATGGCAAACAAAAAAAAAAGACGCAAGATGAAAAAACTATAAAAAAACATAACATAAATAAAATGCTCCGCGGGGCGCAGCTGGATACGACCGCAGAGGTTGAACCCTGAACAGTTGGGACAAGTATGAACACCACATTCAAGCTTGATACAGCTCTAAATTTGGATTGTGATTAAATATTTGAAACATGATAGGTTTCTGTCACAGAATGAATGTGGTCAAAGATCTGAAAAATTTGAAATTGGTTTTTACCTTTTATGGTCCAATATCCAAAATCTAAATATGCAGTTAGATTCAGCATATCCAAGTAACAAAGAATTTAATTTATTTATTTATTAATGGACCAAATTTCCAAGAACACCAAGAATTTAATTCATTTATTTATTAATGGACAATATTAGCTAAGTTTTTAAAGGAGTTCGCTTCATACATATATAGTATCGTTTTCATAACAGTGTGGACGAGACCATTTTTTGGCGCGCTCAAGTCTCCCATTGACTGGGTTAAATTAGGTGAACGTTCGTCTGTAACGCCCACTTATCACGTCGTATTTATTAAAGACATTTAAACTGTGGGGTCACCAAAGGTTCTCAACGCCTTACTCAAATAATTCGAAAAACTAGTACAGGAACAACCTTTGTGTTTTGGATAATATTGAATACTTAAACGTTCTTTACTTGCGTTTTTTTTATGTTTTGATCAACAATTTCATTTTATGTATCGAAATGTGTAACAAGTGTTTATCTGATAGTTTGATAGTTTATTTCAAACCAGAAGCAATACAGCTTATAGGGTTATCATGAATGTATACATGTATATCATAACAGAACATTTTAAATACAATCGGAGGCAAGACTACATAGTATAAATCATTCAGAGAATTGTCATGAAAATGTTATATCTGTGGCGTATTTCAAATATTTTCCTAAATTAGACAATTCCGATACATTCTTTGTTGACAATAACTGAACTAATTTAAAAACAGATGCATTTGTATAATAATACCTTTTAATATACAATTTTCTTATATTGTCATATTTTGGACATTATAAAATAAAATGAAACTCATCCTCAATATCACCATGGTTACATAAAATACATAATCTTTCATTTCTTGATCTTTTTATGAATCTTCCATATACCATAATTTGTGTGAACACAGTCTATACTTAGTTAAAAATCTAATACATTGTGGACTTAAGTTTTTTGTCAAATAAAACTGCAATTGAAAATTATCCACAAGATGTTTATAAATAGTACATTTTGATGATGAATCGAAAAAAATATTTCTTTCCTGAAGAAAATGGTCAATGAGCCTTTGTTTGAATAAAATTAAAAATACTTCTTCGCATACAACATTCTGTGCATACCAAACATGCCCAAAACCTAAGCCAAGTAACATACATTTAACATTATTTACCCATGATGACTTTGTTCCTGATTCACACTCATCACACATGTCATTATATATAGCACTAAGAATACAATTTCTCGTCCGTAATAGACGAATCCAATATTTTATTATTCTTACTTTACGAGAAATCAATAAAGGAAATCTTCCCAACTCAGAATAAACCATTGCAGTAGCAGTGGATTTCTTAACATTCAAAGTATTTTTACAAAATTCTATATGAAGTTTTTCTATATCAGATGCAGTATGAAAACCCCATATTTCACTTCCATATAATAAAACAGGTGATATATAAACATCAAATAAATACAATTTTGTCTGTACATTTAAACACATATGTTTTATTTTACCATACAGCATTGATAAACATTTTCTTCCTTTGGCAGCAATATTTAACTGAGTTTGATTAAACTTTCCATTGTAATGCAACATAACACCCAGATACAAATAATGATCAGCAACTTCAATAATTTCGCCATTATACAACTATTTTTCATCGTTTCTTAATTTACCACCATTTCTGAAAACAACCACCTTAGTTTTGCTTGTGTTAACAATAAGTTTCCACTTTTCACAATAATTATGTAGTGAATTCAACATATTTTGCAACCCATCAATAGTCTCAGAAAATATAACAGTGTCATCTGCATACATCAATAAAAACAATGAAAGTTCTTTTATGTCTACTGGCAGACATAAGCTATTAATAAACTCATTTTCAAAATAATTTAAAAACATTGAAAATAGTATGGGTGATAATGGTTCCCCTTGTAATACTCCTTTTTCTACAGAGAAAATGTCAGAAAATTCACTTTTAAACTTTACACAACTCACAGAATTATCATATAAAGATTTAATAACTGAAAATAGCTTACCACTAATACCACATTTTGCAAGCTTATAATATAGAAAATTTCTATTCAGGTTGTCAAAAGCACTTTTATAATCTATAAAACAACAATAAAATTTTTTCTTCAATCCCAAATATTTAGTAATGATTGATTGTAAGGCAAAAATAGCATCAGTTGTACCATGACCGGATCGGAAATCCCCACTGGAGGGCCTCTGTCAGACGGCGTGAGCGTAAAATCATTGTTATCGATAGCCGACGACAAACAAGTTAAAGGTAAATGATTCAGTAGTATTAGCAACAAAAGTACTACGGTTGTCCACACTGTTACGGGAATACCTCTATATGTATATGTAAAGCTATCTGAAAATTGATTTATACAGATAACAAACAAACCTACCACGAAGTTTTTCAAAAAATTGACCGAAAAAATGAAAAAAACAATTCCCAAAATATTATTCATCATTAATACAACGTCTTTATAAAATCTATAAAACTTACCTGTAATTTTTTTTAAAAATATCTAATAACAAGAGTAAATTTCTAACTATATTTAAACATAATTTCTAAAATCAGAATATGATGCTATTTTTATCTATGAATCTACTAACAATTTCTATTAATTGTGAAATACAGCTCTGAATTTGGATTGTGCTTAAATAGTTGACATAGCATGGGTTTCTGACACAGAATGAATGTTTTCTAAGAACTTAAAAATTTGAAATTGGACTTTTACCTTTTATGGTCCAATATCCAAAATCTAAATACATGGTTAGATTCAGCATATCAAAGAACCCCAAGAATTCAACTTTTGATGAAATTATTTGTTTAATTTTGGACCCTTTGGACCTCAATGAGGACCAATTTGATAATGGGACCAACATTCCAAAATCTAAATATACAGTTAGATTCAGCATAGAAAAAAATATATATTCATTTCTTGTTGAAATCAAACAAAGTTTAATTTTGGACCCCGATTTGGATCAACTTGAAAACTGGGCCCAAAATCAAAAATCTAAATTCATGTTTAGATTCAGAATATCAAAAAAACCTTGGATTAATTTTTTGTTAAAATCAAAGAAAGTTTAATTTCGAAACCTTTGAACCTTAATGTGGACCAATTTGAAAACCGGGCCCAAAATCAAAAATCTGAATTAAACGGTTAGTTTCAGCATATCAAAGAACCCCAAGAATTCAAATTTTGTTAAAATCAAACAAACTTTAATTTTGGACCCTTTGGACCTCAATGTAGACCAATTAGAAAACGGGGTCTAAAATCTAAAATCTATATACACGGTTACATTCAGCATATTAAAGAACCCCAAGAATTCAAGACTTTGAATTAACCCCCCTTGAAATTGCTCAAGAAATAAGCAATTTAAACAAAGTATTAAAAAAGTATTGTTTTGGCCCCATATTCCAAAACAGCCAGGGCCATAACCCAAAAATAATTCCCAACCTTCCTTTTTTGGTATGGAACCTTGTGGTACAATTTCAAAGAGACCCATACACTACTCAAGTTATTGCCGAGAAACATGAAAATCCTAGTTTGTTTTCCATTTTTGGCCCCTTATTCCCAAACGGTTTGGGCCATAACCCCCAAAATTAATCCCAACCTTCTTTTTGAGGTATGGAACCTTGTTGTACAATTTCATAGAGATACATTCACTTATACTCATGTTATTGTCTGAAAACCAAATGTCTTACGACGACGACAAGGACGACGCTGACAACGTGATAACATTATACGAACACAAAAATTTTGCGGTCGTATATAAACACTACAGACGGAGCAAATTGAACCCAACCAATAACTGGGGGTGATCTCTGGTGCTCCATTAATTTGTACATTTTAATTTTTTACACTCTCAGATCATTACATGTAAATGCTCACGTGAAACATTACGTTAAATGATAAAAATAAAATTCAACCATGTTCTAAATTTAATAAACAAAACATGTCTTTAGCCAAAATATGTCGTCTAGTTGATTAAAGAGACCGTTACACTTGCATAGACAGAAACAACAAGAATACCAGTATAATATATTTTGAAAAAAAAACCTATTAAAACTAACACCACATCTCCGCATGTCATCTTCTGACACGACCAAATTATTATTTTAAATTAAATAATTAGTTACAGTGTCACATGCAGATTTATAAATTCATAATTAAGAAGAAAGGGTCTTTCGGGTGTGGTTTTGATTTATTCCTTGTGTCGAAAATATCTCTTTTTATTACGTAATAATGACAACAATTTAATTATATATTGACAATTTTAATTCTGTTTTAATTAGTTTATAATTCATTAGTAAGAAAAACTGTCTAATACTTCAGTAGAAACTGTCATTGTCTTGCTTGGTTAAGACCCTCTTTTGACTCGCGTGTTTGTATTTAAACTGTAAGGAGTGGATGTCTGAAAGGTAAAGGACTATCTTATTTGGTAAGCTACTATTTTTGTCTTTTTTGACGCTCCCGATTCAAAATTGCATTTTACCAATTTTCATCTAAGAGGATTTGTACATGTACTATTATTATGCTTCGATGTTAAGTAGGCAACTTTATTCATAGTACAAACCGTAAAGATCGAATAAGATTTTGATGGAAATGAATGGAATTTAAGGAAACCGTGAGCATTGTACTCCCCAAGGTATATGCATTCTAGTTACAGTACGTATAATGGCCACAAAATAGCGATTCTTGCGACAAGAATGACAAAATTCCCAAAGTTTTTATTAGAAATGCCATTTTAGAGTAGACATTTAAAATGGATACAAAAAACACATGATAAGTTTGCTGTGGATTGTCTAATGTTTATATTTGTTGTTCTTATTTGTTCTGAAGATATTGGCTACTTTCTGCGGGAATTGTCTTCAAACACTCCTTATTGGCATGCCCAGTAAAGTATTTCCGCGAGAAAAATGCAATGTTACCCGTAAAATGTGAATGAAAATTATTGTAAATTATTTTGATAAATTATTACATTTGCTGCCTTGCAGAAATACTAACTAGACATGTTCCCAAATTAACATAAGGAAGTCTGTTATACTTCTAATTATACCTTCAACACGTTAAATTGTCCTTATCCGAAGTCACGAATATCAGTGAAAGTTGCTGTCATTTCATGTTCTTTGTGATTTTGTATCAGTTTTCATAAATAAAGAAGATTTGGGATATACGTCAATGAGATATCAACCAATCGACATCCAGACGTCAGCATACGATCGTTGGTTCTTTCTGTTAAATTTAATAACTGTTTAGATTAATAACAACTTGTTTTGACCACATAGAAATTAAGACCTGTACATATAGTTTCGATGCTTGTCCGTATGTAGGGTGACCGAGCTCATTTGGATCATTTGAGTTTGTGGACATACTTTCTTCCTAAAGTTTACCATGCGTCTCATACCCTTAGAATATTAAGCTCATCATTTCATTAATGTGTTGCAGTCCTTTCAAGAAGGTCTACATGATCTTATGTCCAGGCCAGAATTATCTATTAAAACGTGGTTAGTGGTTTTATGCCTTTTTATGTGTCAAATATTACTGATATTATTTTTATTTAACTTTTTCAGATACAAAATATGATTGTCCCTATTCTTTTCTTCGCCTTTTTGACAGTGGTCAGTGGACTTTTACATACGTCACATGATGGAACATTACAATGCCAATGTACGTGCACGCCTGTTGGAATTCCTAACGAAAAAATATATACTAGTGGGAATCTTAATATTATTGATAAAAAGACCAGCACTTACAATGAACAATTACTTTTGCAAGAAAATATTACAATGGATAAACAGGAAACAAAACCGCAGATTGCTCCTGCCAAATTGCCTGTTGATAAAACAATCAAACAATTTAATGATATAGCAATCTCTAAAATCAAACATTCTCTTGGTTTAGGAGTACATAAACCGATCTATGAAACTATTAGACCTAAAGCTGTCGTTAAACCGGAAATCAAATGGTCACATACTGCAAGTTCAAGTTCAAACGTCGTAACTAAGGATGCAGTCAAAGGTGTAACAGGGAAATCTAACTTGGTAGTTGCAAGTAGTTTAATGAAACATAAGGATTTACCCATTAGCGAAGTACTTGTGAATAAACCTACAATCGAAAAAATAAATGGAAATGATGGATTTAAGAGTAAAATGGAAAAGCAATCAAATACTCAAGACGGCCAAGGAACTGTAATTGATCAAGATAAAACAACAACTGATAAAGTTTTGTCTCGTGTCAACAGTAATCAAAACAAAGCAGTAAATCAGAATATACAACAAAGATTCGTTTCCTCAAGCCAGGATGCAGACAAGGTTGCCGCAGATATAGGTTTTGTCATGGATGGATCTTCACTAAATCCAATACTAAGTGGTGGTTTGTCTGGTGGAATGGGCTATTCCTCTGGTACTGGGTATATCGTTGAGACTATAAACAAGAACAGTCCAGAAAATCAAGATACAGGAAAATTTGTCGAGCGAAACGCAAATGTACAAAATGGGCACGTTGTATCAGGAGTTTTGAATCCATCAAATTCAAAACCGGAAAAAGGAAATATTGTTGGCGGCAATGTGAAAACCACTTCTCATTCGACCGCTGAAAAAGTTGAGACTGGAAGAAATGAACAAAGAAAAACAAACAATCAAACAAAGTTTAAAAGCAGGCAACAAATGAATAATAATAATCAACAATTATCAAATAACCAGGGTAAAAGATCACTAATGAATAATAATAATAATAATAATCAAAAACTACCAAATAACCGGAGTAAAAGGCCACAAATGAATAATAATAATCAAAAACTACCAAATAACCAGGGTAAACAGAAGGCAACTACTGTATGGAATAGCCTTAACACTAATGTCAAAAATAACAACCAGAAAGTGATGCATAATGATCAGTTAAGGAAAACAAGATGGCCAAATAACAACCAACAAACAGATGGAAATATGTGGAACACACAACAAATGAAACCGTTCCAGATTCAGCAGGATCTAAAACAGGGAGTACTGAGTAATAACAATAATCAGTGGGGTAATAGTAACAATTGGGGCTCTACTCAAGATCCATTCGGGACGATGCATATGGATCCATTACTGTTTCTTGGTCAACATCAATTCAAATGAAATTCGGCTTGACGCAAGTCATTGTTGCTTTATGTACATTAATAATAAAATTAATTTGTGTAGTTAGTCTATCATTTGGAGCGGATTTTCTGTGTACTGGTGTATAAAACACTTGTCAAACTTACGCTATAATTGTTTTTATAAAACAGCATCTAAAAAATTACTTTCGAATAATATATTACCATAATAGTCAACTTTTTTATTTGAAAAGTCTTTGGTGTAGTCATGTTGTTTAAAATCGACATAATGTAAGTAAAGGTTCAGGGTTTTAGTCAAAATTAAGGTATTAGCATTATTTCAAAATAATATCCCCATGAATGAACTATGTTGATTGAAATTGATCTACCACTTTTCCGGTGAAAAAATACAAAAATATAAAACTCAAAACAACCAATGGCGTTATATCACTCTTATTTTAATGTACGAAAAATCAATATATACCATAGACTCTGATACGAAAAATCTTGAACGTCATACAAACGTTTACGCAGCACAATTTCATCTTGGCCAAATTGTACAATGAGCTGCAAAAGTTTCTTATCTGCATCCGATTTCACCTGGATGGATTCAACCCAGACGAAGCTAGTTTGTCTAGCGAAATATAGCGTTTATTATTTTTTAATCGCATTGTAAATATATACCTAATATTTACATATTAAATAGTGTATTTAAATTACATTGTAAGGCAATCTTTCATTTTATTTGTGTAGTTATAATCATCTTTTACTGTTTAATCCACACTCAAATTAATTTGTATGTTCTGTGTTGCTATCAGTAGATACGAAGGGACAATGCATATATCATATACAAAACTATTAAAATTTTTAAATGATATCATCAAGTTGTTGTCTGTCAAGTGTTTTATTGACTGTTTGTAAGTCTTTCTTCACTTTGCCATGATGTGTCTTTTTTATTCGACTTACTGTTTTTGACATGGTAAAGCCTCCCCCTTTTTTAAAACAAAAAAATGTTTAACTGCATGTGGACAAAAACATTAACTCTTCATTAAGATAAAATACCATGAGAGCATGGCAACCTTTGATCCCAACTCAAGTCCGTAAGTAGTATTCTCAACAATATCAACATTGAAAAGAGACATTTGTACGAGTCCAAGTGTAACTTCGAACTATAAAGTATAAGTATATATACAAAACGAATCAGATTCGTCAGTTGAATAAGTACAATTGACCCTACTGATGGTGTGTTGTTGCAGAAAGTTAACGGTTGAAGGGTACTGTTAGTGTTAAGACTATTTTCAATTTAGTGTTGTACTATACTAATAAATAGTCAATAATAGAGTATTGACTTGGCATAAAAACGATATAATGCATTTTCTTTTTACATGATTTAGTTTCGATGATGTCAACTACTCTGCCTATGTTAGACCCAGACCTATTTTGTTTCCAGAAGAACCACATTTTTACATGTTTTGATAAAAAAGTTGTCCATCACAAATAGCAGATTTTAACTGCTTATCAAAATGACATGAATCATACTTATCAACCTAACCCCAGGGTTTTTCCACATCCACGTATGGCAGATAGTTTTACATACATGTACATTAAACTCAATTCATGTACGAGCTTACTTTGACTTTTGATCTAGGATGCAATTAATTAGGTAAAATATAGAGGGAAGATTATTAGAAATGTTAACAGTACCTGTTAATCTTGTATGCTTTCATGCAATTTATTAGATTTAGATACAATTTTAACGTAAATTTGTGAGCACAGAAAAAAATGTCAAATTGATCTAGTTTTGTTCTCATTTGTCTCACTTTTTCGGTTTCATGCCGAATTCTTAAATTGTCTTTAGCCTATATTGCAATCCGGTATTTATCACGAACTTACCTCTGGGGGATGTTTAAATTGTCAAAATAAATAAGAATTTATGATAGTTTAGACTTGGATTGATATGTGTATGACATCCCTAGGACAACAACGTGTTACCAAGAGCTAAGGAGTAACAGTTTGTATTTATTATACAGGCATTCCAAATAAATTTTCAAACGATAAAAAAGGAATAGCAAAATTATATTTATACAAAACTATATGTGCATTAAAAATACAAAATTACTTATATAAACCGTATTATTCTAATCTTTTTAATTTTTGTTTCAATTTTTTTCTATAATTAATTACATTTGAAACAAAAATGAGCGCAACACATATAGTTGTAAAAACATATAGTTTTTTTTATATATTAAGGTCAGGCCTATGCTGCTATTTCCGACGAATATTACTTTTAAAAAATAAAAAGAACGAAAAATGAAAAATCGCGCAATTTCAAAACTATAAACACTCAACTATAGCTTCATAGCTTTAAACATTGCTTGTATAGCATGATGTTTCCTTTTTTTGTGAAACATAGGAACACTCTAAAAATTGACACCAAACACACTCGGTAAAAAGTTGGATACAGTAACAATTGCTTAGATTAAGGAGAGGCAACTCTAGATTACACTAGAATTTTCTGAAGCGATATACAACAAGCTGATAGTAGTCGAAATATGCTTAGGCATGTACACAATTCTGATCTCAAATGTATTGTACACGTTGTATTCATGTTAAGTCCTCAGTAAAATTTTAAAAATTCCAATTGTATCTCAAGCTGTATAGTTACTTAAAAACAGCACGTATGTTTACCAAAGAAAGGTCACAAAACTCTCTTAAAATTATGTATACGTGCAGAAAGCGTATCTTCTTCCAGAATATATCCCGCATGCACATTATAGTCATCTTTACAAAATTGTTTACTGTACAGAAGATGAATTTATAAAAATTACTATTCGTCGATTTTTTTTCTGTACGTTCGTTGCGAATTTTCGTATTGATACTCTATCGTTCCGACGGTTGGTCAAAACATCCATAAGAACATATACTGTCTGTATTTAAATACCCATCTTTTATTTTTTAACCAATCATTTAGAACTATTCAGGTTTTGACGTTCCTAACATACAATTTCATTTTGAAATTTCAATCAACCGAAATTTTCGAAACTAACATCAAACAGAATTTACTTGAGAACGAGCATCATAGCTCATTCACCAAGATCATGTGATATCAAAAAATCATAAATATCAATATCAATATACAAATTACATAATCAAAATGTTTAGTAAAAAAATTATCTACATTAAAAGAACTGGTGTCCCAATGTGGCAAATTTAGAAAAACCCTATGTCAAAGGATATAAGATTGTTGGGGGTAAATTCTTGATCTATATACGATGAAATATTTACGCTTATACCTGCCTCCTTAACTATTTACACTGTCCCTTCATCTTCTCCATATATTCGTCGAGGTTTTATAGAATATATGCAGCAATACCTCCAGTTATCCCCTTTAGAGTAATTCTTCAGTTTCTCGAGACCTAACCAAAGATTTCTTGAAAAGGGACGAGGGTGGGTGAGGTCCTGAGGTAAATGTTAATATTTCACGAAAAGTTATTTTTACCCAAAAATCCTTGTTCACCTCAATATTTCCACTTACATGTCTCCTTTACTATTTGCAAAAGAATTTGCTGCTTTCAAAATTTCTTCAGCTGATACACCACAATATAAGGTCCATGAAGAAGACAACTGTCTTGCATCATGCACTATAATAGTTGTCAATATCTCTTTATCTGTATTGTCATATAGCGTACTGCATTGACTATATATCTTGCAATAGATTCCTTTGAAACTTCTTTGTGGTTGTTTTTCTAATAAGTAACACTTGATTTTATAAACCTAATTGGATTAGCTTTCGATTAAAAGTTCCGGTAAAATGTAAACAAAATGATTGCGCTCTTGTAACCTCAAGTAGACAATATTCATGTAGTCAAACATGTATATCTATTTCCAAAGGACAAGGGGAAAGGGAAGCAACTCCAAAATGTTAACTTTCAATTGCAAGAAGAGATCTTTCTTTAGAATAATGTGTATCTTTATATTTCTTTTACTTAAACTGAAAACACAAAACTGAATTTCAAACATGGGATAAGGGAAAAAAATCTAGCGTTTTCTGAATCATATGTGTTCGTATTTCTAAAATATTTTAAATGAAATGCATTAAATTCTTGAGTTTGTTCTAATTTTATAGATTTTTATTTTACCTTAATAGCTACATATACAGATATACCTATGTCTGTATACTTTTACAGAATGTATATTATAATATACTAAATGTTTTTATTTTTTGTTTTAGAAATGAAAACGTACAATTGTGTTTTTTTTCAACAAAAATAAAATAAAAATAAAAATAATAGTTAGAATATCTACTTATTACTCTAGTAAGTATAATCTGTTGTTTAAAGTATACAATACTCAATGGTCTGTACAATACAGTCTTTCGGTTACATTAAAGACTATATTATATCGTGAGTTCCATTAGCCTACCGAGAAGTAAGTTCATTTCCTCGCTTCTGTTGAATCTCCCACTGTAAGTGTTGTCATGTTGCTGACTGTAGTACGGACTTTGTCTATCACTGTAGTTTTGTCTATAGGACTGGTTTGATTATCATTGTTATGTCGAACCATGGAAGTATTATATTGAATATAATACTTCCATGGTCGAACATATGAGTGACTTGGTCTATTGTATCTGTTATAAGAAATAGAAAGATGTGGTATGAGTGCCAATGAGACAACTCTCCATCCAAGTCACAATGTGTAAAAAGTAAACAATTATAGGTCAAAGTACGGCCTTCAACACATTATATGTTTTACTTGTAAGAATTTGAAATTTTGTATTCATTATAAGGTTTAAGTCCAAATACTAGGTTTAAATGTGTTTTCAGAACCTTGTCAAGGCATTTTTGGCCTGATTGATTGAAATGAATACCCTCATTTTGAAAATCGGTCCTGACAACACCATGTATGACATTGTTTACAATGAGATAAACATCTGATTGTTGTTCACAAATATTTCTTTATTTCTACATTAAAGTCTTTCACTTTATTGTTGAAACCAAATTGTTCCACACGTTCAAATGCTGGTAAAACATGTATTTTGGAACGAGTATGACTGTTTTTTTGTGCTTTCAATCAGATTTTCATATCAGCTATACATGTAGTAGTTGGTTTGATACTTAAGTCATTGCTTCCAACACCTTAAAAATATTCCTTTTATCTTAACTAGATATAAGATGTGGTAAATGTTTCAGAAATAGTGTCACCTGCTCCTTTGATATTTTTCTTTCCTGGTCCAAGAACCATAATTTTGGATTTGATGTTTCGGTAAAGTCTCTTTAATAAGGTCATTCAGTTTTTGGTTAAGTTCTGAGATTTTGTTCTCGTAGTCACTGTTCAAGTGATTGTCATCTTTAAACGTTGCACAAATGTTTGATACTTCACAATCTTACTCTCCAATAATTGTAGTAATGCAGGAATATTTTCAGTAGAATGGTTTTTTTTCATTGTTTCATGTGTTCCTGATGTTACAAATAAAAGGCATGTTTTAAATGTCGTGCACTACCTATGTTTGGATCAAATTACTACAAACTCAACAAAGTTGTTGGAATTGGTGAATGTAGACTCGTCTGATTATGACGATTTTCTGGTTTCATTTCAGAGTAATGGGACTTTTAACAGTCATATTTGACACAATACTTTAAGTTACATGTCAAATATTGTTCCCAGAATCCCTGAATATCTCCCGTCTTTATACTTGATACCTAAACTTCAGGACAATTTTTATAACCAACGATAGATAGTCGGATCGTTAACATTATTCTAAGTTCTAATTAACACCATTCGTTCTACAGTAGAATATGATCATCAATAGTGTGAAAAGGTGTATTCAACCAGCGGTGTCATTCTGATGTGGATTTTTAAAATTTCTAAAGATATACT